TCTCTCTCTCTCTCTCTCTCTCTCTCTCTCTCTCTCTCTCTCTCTCTCTCTCTCTCTCTCTCTCTCTCTTACATTCTCCAGGTAAAGCATACAAGAGCTGCAACGCAGATGGGGAAAAAAAGGTGGCTACGGTAACTTTGGGAAAAAGTTGGAAAAACTGTTCTTCCTACCTCCTTACTCTGCGTACTACCTTCTGTCCCCGAATACAACGTAAAGTCATTTTAGCTGTATTTGGGGTATGTTTCAGTCTAAATACAGTGACAATGACCGTAAGTTGTATTCGGGAGAAGAAGGTAGAATGAGGATTCATTACATCTGAAAATTGCACTGAGTACAGCCGATAATACTGCAAGATGTGAGAAACCCCGTTGTTTCAATCAAGGAAAATGGTTGTTAACAAGAACATGTCCAGTCGAATGACATTGCGTACTCTTCGTCATCGAAGCAATCGATAGCTTCACTCACTTGTAAGTAAGAAGAACAAGAATCCCCACTTGGCTATCCCAATTCAAATGAAAATGAACAAACCGAGCCGACAAAGTCTTCCTTCCTGTGATTATCATGATTGCTAATACAGATTTTGCTGTGAGTCCTTTCAAAGTCTGCATCTAGATTCCTGACTCCCAGAGCGGCATAACTCTTCTGATCAGCCTCCAAAACGAGAGGGGGTGGGGGGGGGGTAGATGGGGTGCACTGGGGAAAAACTTTTGGGTGGTAGACGAGATGGCCAGCACTCTGCACCCCCCCCACATGACAAAGGATGGCCACCAAACTCTGCCTGCACAGCCAAATGGCAAATGGCCCATTTCAAGATGCAACGTCGAATGACGTTCGACAATTGACGACATAAGTTTTAGAGACTGTGCTTTCAGACTTGGGGCCCAATATTTCGCACTACCGTCTTCACCCGAATAGAACGCCCGGTCATTATTGCTGCATCTGGACCGAACGTTGTGCCAAATACAGCTATAATGACTGGGCGTTCTATTCAGGTGAAGACGGTAGGACCCCACTTTTCAGACTTGGGCCTGCTGTTTCACACTAGGGCCCCACTGTTGTAAGCTACTAGTAGGGGCCCACTCTTCCACCCTGCGATCGTACTATTTCCTGCTAGACCTGCCACTGTTTCACAATAGGGGACCTCTGTTTCACACAAGGGGCGCACCATTTCACACCAAGGGGAACAATGGTCATCACCCACTGTTTATAAGGGGTCCACTGTTCCACGAGCCAGTGGACCCACTGTTTCACGCAACGGACCGCTATGTCCCACTAGATGGGGGAAGCTACTTCCCGCAAGGGACCCCTGCTTCCCGCAAGGGGCCTCTATTTCATGCAAGGGACCCCTGTTTCCTGCTAGTGGACCCACTGTTTCACATCAGGGCCTGTTATGAACCCAGTGAAGTGAACCTCGAGCTGCATGGTCGGTCCCTCTGGCCCGTGGACGGCATCACCTAGGAAAGGGTTTCCACTAAAAGGCCTTCCACGATTCAGACCCCAAATTCAGTTCTAAGGGTCAGACAGATGCCCAGATCAAGAAAAGGCCGAGTTCGTCGAACTCAGACAAATCATAATCGGGTACCTCAACAGTCTGGTCCAACAGGCACCCAGCGAACAGTCACGTCTCAGGGACAAGAGTCACGTCTCATAATAAAAACCGTTCAGAAGAGTCACATCGCACGAGCGAAAAGGCAGATTCACCAAGCAAGAGTCATGTCTCAAAGGTAGGAGTCACGTTTCCTAATGAAAAATCATATTGAAGAGACAGATCCCATGAGTAAAAGGTAGAATCACAGGCAAAGGTCGTGACCCACAGGCAGGAGTCACTGTTCACAGTCAAAAATCGAGTTCACAAGTGAAAAGTCATGACTCAAAGGCCCAAGCAGCAGTAGTCCAACAGAAATTCGGGAAGGTTCTGGGCCTTGACTTTCAGAAGCAGACAGGCCGAGGGAATGTGGTACCGGAACCAGACAGGACCCAAGAAACAGAGGCTGGCACGAGTTGGAGGGCAAACCAAGACTACAAAAGGACTGGCCAGCCTCGCATTCGAGCAGATTGCTCATTCGCAAGCAGTGTGGAAGTGCTGGTGCACTTGTGCACTAAAGTGAGGAGAAGAGCGCTGAGGCCAGCGTGCTGCGCTAAGTGTGTGTGTGTGTGTGTGTGTGTGTGTGTGTGTGTGTGTGTGTGTGTGTGTGTGTGTGTG